TCCTATGTTCTCTCAATTCTACACCTCCAGGTGAACATAAGATGTGGCCAGCCAAAACCATCCCAAACCACCCGTATCCTCATTGCTTTTTACTTGCAAAGGCTTCGTTCAAAAAAGAGTTGAGTGTTTTCAAGCATGAATCCCGCTGGGTCTACTGGGAGCGTCACCTTACGGGTCATTCTGTCCATTCGAGCGGCCTTTGATTGCAACAAGACGGCTGATTGGGGGTCTTCAAAGACGTTATTCACTTGCTCAAGCTTTGGACATGGGGAAGCGACGGAAGCGATGTATGCAGAAAAGAGGGGTGCAGTCACGCCTTCAATAGCTTTATGTGCAACGCCATTTGAACACGCAAGCTCACTGAAACCTGCCAGCCCTTGTAGAATCAACTTTAGTATCAGACACCTGCCACGTTTTTCCCTGCAAAAGGAAGGACAACAGTGCCATCGACCAGTCGTGAGAGGCGATCTGAGCAGGTATGGAAAACAAGCTCGGCGCCTGTTCTTGGACTGCATGAAACATGGCGCTGCACGCTGGTGCTCAATTTGAGAAAGAGCTGCCCGCAACTGTATTCTCGATACAAAACACTCTGCTAGGATAGCTTCCTCGCACATACTATAGGCGATCCATGTGAGAGCCAGGAACGGTCTTGAAAAGCAGCTGCTTGACAGCTCCCCTCTCCTGATCAGAGCCAATGATAGGTTTCTGTTTCGCTGGAACGAAAGCCGAAATTCTACTTTCAAGGCCTTTAAGCCCTCCTTCTTGGAGGGTTCAGAGCAAGTGTCAGTGTGCCTTGCAGCAACTGCATGAACGATTCGCCTGTGTAACTTGCCACTGCGCCCGCAATGTACTGAGATGAATCTACCCACTGGAGCTGTCATGTTTAAGCAGAGTATCTAGCTTTTGCACAAAGACCCAATGGTTGGATCGTAGACCGTAGAGGTGTTGCCTGTGGGCCGCAAAAGCAAGCTTCAACAAGCTTTTGATGTCGAGCAATGGTGCTGGATGCCGAGGTTTCATGCAAGGGCTAAATGTGACAGATGTCGCTTAACTGCAAAGCTGCACATTGAGCTAGAGGCAGAATTGGAGCCGCAGCCTACATCCATAGCATAGGAAGAAGACTGCAAAATAGAAAGATTTGCGAGATCAGAGATCCGAGAGATCCTATGTTCTCTCAATTCTACACCTCCAGGTGAACATAAGATGTGGGCCAAAACCATCCCAAACCACCCGTATCCTCGTTGCTTTTTACTTGCAAAGGCTTCGTTCAAAAAAGAGTTGAGTGTTTTCAAGAATGAATTCCGCTGGGTCGGAGCATTAGGTGCTGCCTTTGGAAAGTGCCCTAGCAACCGATGGGACTTCACAATGATCCTTGATGCTAGCTGCGTTGCTGGCAATCTGAAAAGCCTCTTCAGATGTGGTTGATCGAGTGCAACACGTGTTGCTCTTTACAATCAACTCGATGTGAAACAGAGCAACACCTGCAGGTGGTGACTTCGATTTGTCCAGAGCTTCACCTGTGTAGCGATCACTGTCTTATTACCCGCCCTCACTGCGCGCCGCCGCCATTTGGGAGGTCACACGGTCGTCACTTGGCGTCACGGTCGACTGTCACAGCAAACTGCGTTAAGACAAATTCAGCCAGCCGACACTTTTTTGGGGTGATAGCTAACTTTACTCTCTCATCTCCCAAACCACAGGCGCAACATACTATCTTTGTAGTTGTGTGGGCACACTTGAGGCAAATGGTTTATGTGTTCCAAGTGTGCAGTTGTTAGTCGCAGGTATTCGAGAACTGCCGGAGCAAAAGTTTGGTACCAGCGGTTGCGCCTGCGCGTTGATTGCCTCAAAATGACGATTAAGGCAACAACAAAGCCTAGAATCGGCTGCGTTCAGAATTATTCGACACTGTTTCCCAGGAAGGAGCTGCAGAAAGTTACATTATGTTGCCCACATAGCTCTCTGTCCTGTAGAGCCCCTCGATGTGTGTTGACTGATGCTTAGACCGTGGCGATTCAGAACTCTAGGAAGTTCAGATGAACTTCGTGAACTCGAAACTGATGGGTAGACATCACTGGAGCTGAGTTGGGCATGCGGCCTCATGCGGCATGGGTCAAAAGACCCCAGAAACAATGGTCAGTTGACACACTTGGTATTATAGAGATGTATAAAATGCGTTTGGTTTGTTTTGCTTCGCGGTCCATCGGCGAGAAGGTCGGCCAGCGCAGGACCCTAAGGTCAAGTATCGGCGTATCTTGAAAGGGCAGTAGATTAGATGTCGAATTGTGTAGGGAGGTGATTTCGAAAGTTGGAAAGAATGCAAGGACCTGGCTG